ATTTTTTTTAACTTTTTAAAATAAATTTATTATTTTTATTTTATGTGTATGCATGTATTATTTTATGTTTATGTAGGTAAGTGCACACATGTTGTGCAATGCCTGTGGAGGTCAGAAGAGGTTGTCGGATCCCCTGGGACTGGAGTTATGGACAGTTGTTAGCTGCCATGTGGGTGCTGGGATTCGAACCCAGGTCCTCTGCAAGAACAACCAGTGTTGTTAACCACTGAGCCATCTCTCCAGCTCCTTTTTTTAAAAAAACTATTTTATTTATTACTTTTATTTTTTGTGTATGAGTGCATTGCCTGCATGTATGTAAGTACAACTGTGTCATGCAATGCCCATCGAGGTCAGAAGAGGGCATCAAATCTTCTGGAACTGGAGTTACAAACAGTTGTTAGCCACAATGTGGGTGCTGAGAACCAAACTCAGGTCCTCTGCAAGAGCAGCCAGTGCTCTTAACCATTGAGCCATCTCTCCAGACCCTTGATGTTTTTCTTAAGTATAATGCATTTTAGCAATACATTTTATTAAGCAACAGGGCCAAATATTACTGCTTCAAAATGTATTTCATACAATAGTATGTGAAAGAGACTTCACATTCTTCTTTTATACCAAACTTTGTGTATATCTGATACAGAAGATTTCAACAGCCACATTTTAAGAGCACAATCACCCTATTGGCTGGCAGCCACTGTAGAACAGTCCAGATCCAAACCTCATCCCTTGAGTACGCAATACTTTTTCTTTTTCTTTCTTTTTTTTCCCCCAATACTTTTTCTAATGACAAAATAAATGCGTTTTCCCAAGCAGTTGAATGATTAAATATAGCTTGGAAGCAGAAGGCAAATTCTGGTCCATCAACGCATGAGTATTTTTTTATTTTGATTTTATTTCCATTCTATAGCTCTAACAGAGTTCTAGTTGAAGCTTTGTAACAAATTTTTAAGTATGTATTACTCTTGAAACCCAAACTTTTTGAGATTTATATAGCTAAGTTATATAAGATCATTTTTTACTGTAGAACTACAGGTGAGCTATAAATCAGAATGTGTCAGAGTATCACCCAGAGTCCAATGGGCATAACTATTACAGCACCAAAGCCAACTCTGCCTGCCCATCCACAAAACAAGAAGTATCACTGGTACATTCCCAGTGCTTCAGTCAATAGATCTCAAGGAAGATGGGCACTCAATGTAAAGAAGGGGCTGGAGACAGAGCTCAGGGGTAGAATGCATGCAGGAGGCTTTGGGTTTGATCCTCACTACCCAAAAGATCCCCAAACCCACTACACTTGATGATAAGTAGGAAACAGCTTGAACTGAACACAGTATAGAAACAGAAGCATCAAGCTGGGCACAGTGGGGCACTCCTGTAATCCCTGCACTTTGGTGAAGGAGGCAGGAGGGTCAGAAGATCAAGGCCAGCTTTGGCTATTTGGTACAACCAAACAATAACAACAACAAAAACCCAGAAGTACCTAATAGCACAGATGAATTCTCAAGGAGGAACTAATGTTCCCACTCACCCAAACCCAATACTCCCTCTGCTGAGGTCTCCTCACATACACTCCTGGCTGAATTCATCCTGGAACATGTGTGTGCTCACAGGAAGCTGTGTGGCTTCACTGCTGTTTATTTCCCCAAGAGCTTCACCCAGCCTTGGCTTAGCTTGCACCTTTCCACTTTGGTGGAAAGATGAGATCAGGTAAAAGTGAACAACAATAAGGAGAGGATGGGACGGCTGTAATTTCTCTGCTTTATCTTCAATAAATGGTTAGTTACCTCTGGGTTGTTTCTTCATCGCGATTTGTGTCCTCTTATATCTTAGTGAAATATCATGGAATACTGGAGGGTAAAAACATAAACAAAGGAAGAGTGATTAGGTGAGTGGTTTGAACATCTCTGTGAAATCACACAGCAATGCATCCTACACCAAACAGTAGCACGGTGGCCAAGGATGAACAAACTCTCAACTCCCTCATCCACTAACCTCCCCCAGGTTAGATTTGTTTCCACATTTTATGTACTTGTAAGACTGTAGTAACAGAGTAACACAAAAATACTAGGAGAGACAGATACCTTGCAACGCACTGTATAACAAATAGGACCTGCAAACATTAGAAGAATCAACCCACACTCACTTGTATGGCCTTCATACAGCTCTATATAATGCAAATAATGAATTGCTCTGTTCTTTGCCTAAAGAAAAGAAGGAAAATATTTTCTTAAATATCTCGTTGGCTTGTTCTTTCTGTGAGTCAAGGTTTGGTATGTAGTCTAGGCTGGCTTTAAATTCACAATCTTGCCTCTGCCTACCAAGTGCTTGAAATACAGAGGCTTGCCACCACATCTGGCGTCTTGTTGGATTTCAGAAATATCCTTTTTTTTTTTTGGTCTTTTGAGACAGGGTCTCCCTGTAGCCCCAGCTGGCCTGGAACTGCTATGTAGACCAGGCTGGCCTAGGCGTGTGCCACCATGCCGGACTGATATGTCTAATTTCTAACTCTTAGTACTTGTTCATATGATCATATCTGGAAAAGGTGTTTGTAGATGTAATAAACCTTAGTAAATTTTAAAATCATATTTTATTATTACCAATACAAAACTTTGGTATATATTTCTAAAAAATAAGAACTTAAAAAAATCATAATCATACTATCACTATTCCACTTACAGGAACAATTCCTTAGTATCTTTGAACAGTCTGTCAGTATTCACACTTCCACAGCAGTCTCATAATTTTGATAAGCAATCACAGGTCTGATAACCATGACACAAAAGAACAGAGGTACTTCTGAAATGGATTTTTATTAGATAAGCAAGCTTTGACATGAAGCCTCCTGAAGGTTCTAGACTAAATTATTTTCTTATAGTTCCCATGTATGTAGCATCTAGCTTATCTTTTACTAAGCATTGATAGAGAAAATATGCACTGCTGGGTGTGGTGGCACACACCTATAATCCTAATTCTCAGGAGGCAAAAGCAAGCAGAACCAGAGTTCATGTCAGCCTGGGCTATACAGCAAGACCCTGTCTCAAACAAACAAACAAACAAACAAAAAACAAATAAAAAGGTTAAAAGGTATATACCTTCCTGAAAGCAGCTGCCCGGTCAGCGGCTTTTCCAATAGCAAAACCTTTCAAAGGAAAAGCAAATATGTGGACAGGGAAATAGCTTTGTCATATAGCACACCTTCCACCACATTCCCAGTTTGGTTTTTGACAATATTTCAAAGCACTTCATCTTCCTGCTGTCCAGAGAAAACCAGCTGTCCACAGCCAACAAGGAAGCATGAAGCTACAGAAATTTGCCTGCCTAATGTGAACATTTCACATTTGAATATATTCACGAAATTCAACATCAGCTGCATAATATTACCTTTAATAAATCTCTACTGAAGTGAAATGTATTCAGTTTTTAAATTAAATATGCTCTAAGCTAATAAGGCAAATGATGTAATACTTTGGAAAACAACTCATAAAACATATATATTTATTATACTGAAATAACTGGCAGGGACGGTGGAAAATGCATTCCTCCAACACAAGACCACGTTCTTGCTGGGCCTTTGGAGTAGAATTCAGGTTTTAATGAAGTAGGAAATAAGATCAGTGGTTTGTAAGCCTGTGAATAAACTAAGTCAGAGCTGACATTTCTTCAACTTATAAAGACCTTATAATACTAATCAATAAGAAAAATAATAAAAACCCAACAAAGCACAAGAACTAACAGAGCTCAAAAAGAAAAGAGCAGTGGTCAATAAGCATGCAAAATCATGTCTACACTTCCTAAATAAAGACATGCCAGTTCAAACTAAGAGACATGGTGTACACCTACTGCCAAGCACTACAGCCTAGACAAGGATGTGATGAGAGGAACACAAGCTGGCACAACTTTTAGAAAGCGATCTGGCAACTCTTACCAACACATAAAAATACTGGGTGGCAAGTTCACTGCAAGAAGATTCCCTAATACCTATACTTGCAAAAATATAACAACGTATAATGACTTTTTTTTATTTAAGTAATGAAAATTAGGGTCTGTGAGCCCAAAGTGAGGCCAGCAACATGAACCCTCAAGCTTTTGGCAGGGCCAGGCCAGGGCTGACTTCACACCACCACCAGGAGTAGCCACACCCACTCACCTGCAGCCCCATTTCCATTCCCCACAACAACCAGGACACGGACCGATTTCCTTCTTCCCTCTTTTGCTGTCATATTGAAAACATTTCGCACCTAAAAGACAAAAGGTTTCATCAATAACACTTTCAAAAATCCTGAAGAAGGACTAGCAGGACCTACCCATCTCAGTCATGTTTACTTGTGGTGTGTGGGCACTCTACCTTCCTATGTTGCAAGACACACAAACTTCATCCAAACAGAGCTGCCCTCTATACTGTTTCATCAGGAAGAGAATGAAAATAAGACTTTCTCTTCCTATTTCCCAGGGTTATTAGACGATTCAACTGAGATAATGTTTAAAGGAATTTGAAATTTACACAGCTCAAAATGGCCTATCTTAAGGAATATACCACAGAAATGAAAAATGTTCTGGGTTACAATGAAATGGCTTAACACTGAGTATAAAGTGCAGCCCAGTGACAGAGAAGCCATCATTTCCTAGAAATGATAAAATACAGTATACAGAAGCCAGGCATGGTGGCGCACACCTTTATTCCTAGCACTTGGAAAGCAGGGGCAGGTGGATCTCTGTGAGTTTGAGGCCAGCCTGGCCTACAAAGTGAGTTCCAGGCCAGCTGGGGCTACTGGGAGACCCTGTCTCAAAAAGACCCCCCGGCCAAAAAAAAAACCCAACAAAAAACAGCATACAAAAGTAATTGCACAGGCCTGGACCACTGGAATAGGAAATTTGGAAATACCTGCTTATGATAAACAAGAAGAAAATCTGCAGGTTGGTTTAGTTGATTGGTTGGTTGATTTGATCTAGACCTTAAAGGACAGGAACTATGAAACTGTTAATTACACTTGCTCACAAAGCAACTACTCTCTGGCTCATGACACCCCTCTCCTATAAAATGCAATTAATTAAAGGAGAAGGGAGGTTGAGTCCACTCTCATGAGTAACTATACAGAAAACCACTAACATACACAAGAAATTTAAAATGGGGATTAGCTTTCAAAATCTATTATCAGGGATAACAACAAAAAAATACTTATAATCCTATTTTAAATTCTACTCTGACTGACAGAATAATATATACATATTCAGAACGGCTCTAGCACAAACTCAAATGATTATTCCCTACGCTATTAAACAGATTAAGTATGCAGTGCCAGACTAACAGGATGGTGACTATTTTAGAGAATGCTCTGGAAAGTGGCTACAGGGCTAGAAGTGGCCCAGAGTTCATTTCTCCAGCAAAACTGCCATTCACCACTCCCACTTTCTACCAGTGACCCTGCGCCATCGCCCCTCTGCTCTCCAAACTGAGTGCTAGAAAGGATTGGTTTGTAACTCAAAGATAGATTGCTAATGCTGCTTTAGCTTTAGGATGGAGGAAACTTAGACATAAGCTCCAAATTTTGCTATTAAATATACTATTGAAGCCATCTGGTCATGAGACCTCAATGTGGTAGCCCCTAAAAAGGGAAACAGGACAGCCAATATTGAGTTACTTAACTTGGAAGTTTCACTATTTCCTTACCCAGACTGGCTCTGTGTACAAGAAACTACCACACATCAAAAGCTTTTCCCCCCGAATTCTTCCTGTCCCATCCCCACCACATATACCCTACAACCTCTCCAAGGGCCTGGCTGGGTATTTAATTCAGTATGCCTACCTCAATTACTCTGGTATCAAAATCGTTGTATGTTTCTATGAGGGGAAAAAAAGCATACAGATAAATGAGCCTGTAACTATTAATGAATGAAAGCATTTTTCACATAGATAGCATCACAGATCTGGAGGGCGGGGGATAGTGAAAATTGAACCCAGAGCCTCATGCTTGTCAGGCAAGCATTCTACCATTGAGTTACACCCCCAGCTCCATCACAGACTTTCAAATGTTAGTGTTTCGGGTCTTTTGCTGCCACTCTCAAAGCCACATCCTGGTTCCCCATCCTCAATAGAAGCTCTACCTCTGGTTTCAGGAACTCAGTTACCCTCCCCCAATGCCCCAACTCTCTACCTCATCAGCTCCAAAGGCAATGGTTCCTGGAGCTCCCTAGCACCATTTACACCAAAGCCCATCACTCTCCAAACTGCTCAAACCTTCTCCTCAATATTTCCCTGGCTTGAATCAGTATAGCTATTTGGTCAGGTGCAGCCTGTCAAGGCACAGTCACAACCAGCCAATCAAAACCCATAGTCTCCACTTCCATCAAGTCCTCCCAGCTCTAGGTGGTCCTCCCCTTCTTTTAGTCTTTCTAGCTCAATCTCCGTATTATTTTATTATTTTTTGTGTATGGGTGTACTGTACACATGTATGTAAGTGCGCCTGTGTTGTGCAATGCCCACGCAGATCAAAGGAGGCTGCCAGATCCCCTAGAACTGGAGTTACAGATGGTTGTTAGCTGCCACATGGGTACTAGGAATTGAACCTGGGTCTTCTGCAAGAACCAGGGCTGCAGAGATGGCTCAGCAGTTAAGAACACTCACTGTTCTTGCAGAAGACCCAGGTTCAAATCTCAGCATCCACATGGCAGCTAACAACTGTCCATAACTCCAGTTCCAAGGGATCTAACAGCCTCTTCCATCCTCCGCAGGCATTGCATGACACGGGTGCACTTACCTACATGCAGGCAATACACGCATACACATAAAATAAAAATAATAAATATATATATTTTAAAAAGCCACTGAAGCCATGCCTCGTGGTGCATGCTTCAATCCCAGCACTTCACACAGGAGGCAGAGGCAGATCTCTGTGAGTTTAAGGCTAGCCTGGTCTACACAGAAAGTTCCAGACCAGACAGGGTTACAAAGAAACCCTGTCACCAAGCAAAGAACTGGGCTTAATTAGGGCTATGTTCAGCTGCTTAACTTTCATTACAGACAACTTCTGTCTGTTGGAGGAATACTTCTTGGCTGTGGGTCTCTCCTGTCCCCAAGATACGGTTTGGACAACGATAACAGGATAAGTTATTCAAAGAAGCTTAAACCCTTTTCTGGAAAAAGAAAATCTAAAAAGACAAGTAAATAAAATCATTTCAAAAAATACTCTAGAACTATAAGTCCACCCTGTCACAAAGGTAAACAAAACTTCACTCTGCTACCTCCGTTGGGGCCCGGGTCAGGGGGGCCAATACTGACACCGCCCCATGTATTTCCGCTCCATCCACGCTCCCGTTTAACTTTTATCTTCCTCTTCCGGTCCCACTCTTCTCTCTGCTGGACCATGTCAGCCTCCACCCTCTTCTGCTCTTCCTTGTTTCTCTGGGCAATTGTCTGTACCACTCCACTTTTCATAACAGGGATATTCAAGCCAGGCCACAGGAAACCAGAACGCCCTGAAGATTTTTAAATATACACGAGTAAGAATTTTAGAATTCATGTTTCCAGTCTCAAAATACTAGACAATGTATAAGGGTAACAGCACGCCACTGGTAGAGCTTAAGCTGGCAGGATTACTCAGCAAGTCACTTTGTGCTATCAGAATTTAAATACAGCCCAAGCTAGTGGCTCCACTCCACTCCAAACCATGACCTAGAGAAACACTCCCACATAGGTACAAGGCATATGTGGGCTGGACAAGCACATTCACTGAAACGTTATCTGTAAAGGCAAAAACTGCAGCAATCCAAGTGTTCAGTGACAGTGGAACAGCTAAATGGCAGAGCCGGCATATGTGGTACTCTACACAAAATCCAAAGCACAAGGTCACTTTCTAGGTTCTGATATACTGATTTCTAACACCTACCGCTGAGTGAAAAAAGCAAATTTTAAGACAGCATGCCCCAGTTTCCTTTACTGATGCTGTGATAAATACTCAGACAAAAGCAACTTTGAGGAAGAAGAGTTTGTTTTAGCTCAGTTTCAGGTAACAGCCCATCAATGCAGGGAAATCAGACAACAGGAACTTAAAACACCTAGTCATAGCCATCGTCAAGAACAGAAGGAGAATAGGTGCATGCAAGCTTACCAGGGCTTGGTACACCTTCTCCTTCTGTATATGGTCCAGGACCAAACCCAGGGAATGGCGCTATCCACTTTTAGACTGGGTCTTCCCACATCAATTGACATAACCAGGGCAATTCCCCACAAACATGCCCACAGGCCAACCTGATCTGGACAACCCCTCATTAAGACTCTTCTCAGGAGATTCTAGGTTGTGTCAAGCTGACAAATAAAACTAACCATTGTACGGCACACAGCATATGGTATAACTTACTTATCTTTAGAAAGGCATTTACATGAAAGCATCAAGAAATACTAAAGGAAACATACCAAAATGAGACCAGAGGAGGAAACAGGACTGAGGTTAGTAAAAGGGGACTTTCACCATTCTCTATAATTCCTTTTTTTTTTAACTGAGAATGTCTACATATAATTTTATAATTAAAAAATAATAGTAAAGGCCAGCCCATTTGCTGGGTGAAAGAAGAGACTGTGAAATAGTGTTCCTATGACTTTAAAAATATGCTTGGTGAATTAGACTGAACCTCAAGCACGTATGTTTGGAAAGCCGTGTATCTCATGAGAAAGTTTATGCAAGAATACTTACTCGGAAGATAGGTCCAGAATGCCTGAGTTCCCCCTCCTAAGTAGACATAGCATGGAGATAATGCTGATGTGCTCATCTTATTTTGTTGAACTGTTATATTCTAGCCATATTATTATTATTATTCAATGTTCTGTAAACAATTGACTGTGGTTCTCACAAGTATGAGAAGTCATTTTATTATTGTTCAGTTCTGTAGACACGTGACTGTGATTCTTAGGAGAATGAGAGTAAAAGCAGAGCTGCTTTTATGATCAGCACTCCTCTACATGGAAGCCTGGGTCCCCTGGTTTATTTTCAGTTCTGTGGCAATTCATTCAGGTACTGTGGCTGCCCCTGGTGGCCACAGCTGGGAGTTGTGGCACATGCCTGTAATTCTAGTACTAGGGAAGCCAAGTAAGGCTGGAGGATCATTGAGTTCAAGGCCAGCATGAGCTACTACATAGTGAGACGCCGTTTCAAACAAAGCAGGAAGTTAGTTCTTTTCATAAGTAAGTTTACCTTCACCAATGAGCTGACCCCTGTTCAAATCCTTTCTTCTCTTTTTCTTTGTTCTTTTGCCTCTTCCTTTTCTTGCCCCAGCACCAGTCTCTCCTAAAGCGCCTTTCCAGAGTTCTTCTGCTGTCACTGTAAAGAAACAGGGTTTGCTTTTTTAAAATGCTGCAGTTTTAAAGCAAACAATCTATGGTCTTCTACTGAATAAAAATGGCCAGATGAAGCAGCTTCTTCTATAATGATAGAATGAGATAATCAAAATAAAGTCATTCTTTGCATATACCATAACTATGTTAGGGAAGCACAAGAGAAGATGATGCTGTTAGTTCTCCCACACAAAACAGCCAACGCCGAAGCCTCAGGTCCTCACCAGTAGGTTTGTTTCCCTGCCATTTGATCAGCTAGGATTTAGGTCATCTCCCTGTCCTCGGGCCTCTACAATAATCACTGGGATAATCAATAACTACCCTTCATATAAACAAGAACCAACATTTCAGTCTGTATCTATAGTCTGAAACAGAGTGTTGGTTCTACTCTTCTGCCAAAGCCCTAACATTTGTTTCCTTCTAAATACACAGGACAGGGATGGAGATAGCTCAGTGGTTAAGAGCACTGGCTGTTCTTGCAGAGGACCCAGGTTCAGTTCCCAGCACCCACATGAAAACTAACAACTGTCCTAACTCCAGAACCAGGGGATCTGACACTCTCTTCTGACCTCCGCAGACATTACACAGCACAAGTGCACTTACATATATGCAGGCATTACACTCACACACAGAAAATAAAAATAACAAATTAAAGATTTTATAAATACTCAGGACAAGTATATAGACGTTTCAAGTTAGTATCCATGTGTATCTGTGGGGGTGCCTATGTGTATCTGTGTATGTGTGTACATGCCTGTCTTAAGTCATCTGTGTCTTTTAAGTCATGTACAGACTCTAGTACTATTGATTTATTTCCATTTGTCAATTTCTAGGATCCTAGTATCTGTTTCTAGCACACATTTCAATCAATACTTTATCCTTTGTACTTGTAGAATATTTAAATTCTTTATGTTTGATCATTACTGGGTTTTATTGGTATTTAAAATTCTGTTTTCCCAAGGTCACCAACCATTTTATGAGCAAATTTTATTCCATTACCAATTTATATTATAAAGACTCGAAGCTAGGGCTAGACAAATAAACTTAGTAGGTAAAGTGCTTGGAGGACCTGAATTCAATCCCCAGAACCTATGTAAAAAGAAACCCAGACCAGATGGCTCATGTTGTAATCCTAGCACCAGAAAGGCAGACAAGGTGGATCCCAGGGGCTCGCTGGCCAGCTAGGCTAGCCTACTTAGTGGGTTCCAAGTCAGTGGGACAGTCTGTCTCAAACAACAAGGTGTCTGAAGAACAACAGCTAAGGTTGGTCCATGGCTCCACACATACAGGCACATATGTGCAGGGGCATACACAGGTACACACATGCCCAAATCAGAGCCACACAAATATCCTACTCAACACTTAAAGACTCATGCATCTTCATATCTTTATGTACCTAACATTTAAATATATTCTAGAAGCCCAATTAAGAACTTTCAGTCTCCTTTTATAAACTTTCAGATTTAAAAATTCTATTTGCAAGCTGGGCATGGTGGCACACGCCTTTAATCCCAGCACTTGGGAGGCAGAGGCAGGCAGATCTTTATGAGTTCGAGGTCAGCCTGGTCAGCCTGGTCGACATAGTGAGTTCCAGGATAGCTGGGGCTACAGGGAGACCATGTCTCAAAAAGATCCCCCCCAAAAAAATTCTATTTGCTTGTTTCCTGAAAGGCCTTGCCCTTGATATTCCAGGTAGGTAACATTAAAAAAGAAAAATGTTTTTTATTTACAATATTTGTATGTGCTTTATATCTGTATAGTATTTCATTTCCAGGGCACATATATTATAGCTAATCTTGAATAAACCTGAAAAATGTGGTTTCATAACACATTGTGCTCTGAACGTGCCTGATCAGAGTAAAGGATTAAGCTCAAACTTTAGGCCAACAGCAATTCACATAAAACAACCACAGGTATGAGATAAAGCACCAAACTCAAACTTTCCCTAAAAATCTGATTGTTTTCCCTCACTACTTAAGTTCACTTGTAATGGGGACACACTGAGAGGCTAATCAAGTAGTTTTCCTTCTCTTAGAATCAGTAAATCATTCAGTCAGATTAAAAAGGAAGGAACTAGAGAAATGGCTTAGTGGATAAAGTGCTTGCCACACAACCATGAGGACCAGAGTTCAGATCCCCAGCACCCCCAAAAGAGTGTGAATAAAGCATTTTAGACCTAGGGAGACTACTAAAAATAAAAATTCTCACACCCAGGGTAAAGGCATATTGAGAATCCCAGATTCAAGAGGCTATGGCAAAATTGAGCATTCAAGGTCAGCCTGGCCTATATAGCAACCCTGTTTTTAAAAAACAAAACAAAACATCAAAACATGGATACTAGATGTGAAATGCCTATATATTTGTCCAAGGGAAGAGTCTACCGGCCCCTACTTTACCCACATGTTTTCTCATTACACCTGAATTTGCAAGTACAGAGAAGCTTAGGATATATCCAACCCTTGTCACCTGATGCTCTTGTCACTATTGCTACACAAATGACCTAGTAGTCATCACAAGACTTCCAAATTACAATGATTTATATCCACACAATGAAATACTACATACTCGCAATACCACATATGAGCAGTCCACAAAAAATGTTCACTGTGAGCAGACTGCCAGAGAGTGCTGAGTTCTGGCCTCCCTCTGGCAGAGGGCCTGAGAATGCAGGTGATTGCCTGAGAGCCCCCATCCTGACTCCTATTGTAGAGACACTTTGTTGCTGCTCTTTTCATAATAGCTAAGAGATGGAAGCAACCTAAGTGCCCCTCAACTGACCAGTGGTTAACAAAAATGTGGTATATTTACACAATGGAGTTCTCTTCAGCAGTAAAGAAAGATGAAATAATGAAATTTGCAGGTAAATGGATGGATCTAGAAACTGTTAAACTAAGTGAAGTAACACAGACTCAGAAAAACAAACGACGCATGTTCTCCCTCATATGTGGATCCTAGCACCAAATCCTTTTAAAATCCAGGTCCTTTTAATAACATGATGTTACATAGCAGTCCCTTCTGCATGAAATAACTACCAGCATCACAACTTCAGCTAAGCCTGATCACTAAACATCATCACAATTGGGCTTACTGACAGTTGTACTCATTCATTAAAGGAGGGCCATGCAGGATCACTGGACCCTCACTGGATTATCCAGCCACTCTTCCCAGCCAACTGTATGTAATTTGGCCCTAATCACACATGGCCTCCTGGATTTGGAGAGGGCTAAAGTATACAATCTGGGGAAGGCTAGGAAGAGAAGGCATGACCCATGCTGGGTTAAGGCTTTCCAGTGTGCATACCCTCAGGTCAATCATACACCTCAGCAACCCCTCAGTTATCTCGGTAAGTAAGCTCAATAAATTCATTGCAGTAGAACTTTAATCAAACATTGGCTCAACCCTAGAACCTTGAAAAGGAATAAGCCTTGCTTAGATCCCCAGGAAAAGAAGTCTCACAACAGATGGAAATCTTATTGGTTAATGCTATTATGTCTCATAATTATTTTTTTAAAAAAATGAGAAATGTAAAAGATGTTAAAAGGATATGGAAATGGAGATATTTTCCAAAATAGACAGAAAAATTCAAAAAGCCTAAGCAAGTGATGAAGGTCTGTTATGATATAAAAATGATGAGACAAAAAATTAAACACATAATCTTAAAATTTCTATGATCATAGTTTAGTCAACTAGTTTAAGGAACAAAATATATATCTAATCAAGGTTTATCTGAGAATATTTGTTTTTTACCGAAGCCTTATCTACATAGCATATGATAATTAAAAGTACTAGACTGATGGAACTAACCTTATTGGATGTTTAACATCCATAATTTGAGGCCTATACTAATCTGGTCAGAGGGACTTAAAGGACAGTTTTTGCCCCCTGCCCTTTGCCTTAGGTCAACTAACTTCCAGGGGACCTTGGAACATCTCTCAAAATGTCCTGTAACTGTGGTGAACCTGTCCTCTTGTTCAGGGAGGACATGGAGACCCCACAAGATGGACCTGAACCAGTGTCCAGTCTACAAAGAGGCGGGTCAACTCAGAGGAAACATCTCATTCATGCTTCCAAGTGAAGCCAGACATGGTCAAGCAGGACCTTTGACTTATCTTCACATAGATGGAACTGGTAAAAGAAAGGAGCCAGGAGCTCCTCCCAATCCCATGTGATCCCTGAGGAACAGATCCTCAAATGACCTTAAGTGTAAAAATAAATTGATTTATTTGGGCCAACTGTATAATCCTAAACACCCAAAAGGAAAATATAACCAAAGAGTAAAGAAAGTCATCAGTGTATTTCTTTAAGAGTTCAAGGGATTACAGTTCTCAGACATTAGGCTTAAGTCTATATAAAAAGTTGTTTAGACAATTATTTCTCATTGATATTTTTGTTACTAACCAGA